TTTTATTTTATTTTATTTTATTTTATTTTATTTTATTTTATTTTATTTTATTTTTTGGAAGCTTGTGGTTATTCGTTTATGTGCGTATGTGCTAATGTGGATTGTAGACTGCTACTGGTAGACAGATGGCTAGGGATCGTACAGAGAGGTTGACCATTTTCAAGAAGTGGTGGGATGAGGAGACGATGATGGTGGGGGTTTAGCTGGTTGTTTGTTTCGCGGAGTGCTCTTGCATGATTAGATCATAGAGAGGATGGCATTTAGCTGCGATAGATCAGAGTTAGAGAAACTGTCTATTGATTGCTTTGACGTCTATTTATGCAGACTCGTATCTATCATATGATTGTATACTCTATCACAATCGAGCGTCTCGGGATCCCTCCTGCTCCTTCCACTTATCATAGTCGAAGCCAAGTTGCTCTAGGCTCTTGATAGAGCTTCGCTCCTCGCCCTTCTCTGCAAATACCCGCTTGATCTCAGACATTCTTTGCCGTATCCACCTTTGCCTCTCACCACAATAACTACACAGCTTCCCAGCACCGTTATTGTCAAGACCTTGCCGGGGTGGCGCCGTCGCCGCCCAGTCATGCAAGAAATTGTGGTAGTCCGCATCCTGCGGAAAAGGTAGCAAATGAAATGATGTCCCGTTGCCCTTCTTCGCAATGTTTGCTTCCTCCCAAGCTTTCATCTCCTCCTTTGATGGAAGGCTGAGCCTTCCCGACCAAACACGGGCGAACACCGCCGCCTGGTTCTCCGAAAGTGGGAGCGGAATTACCCTCTGTGGCAGTGCAGGTAAGACCAGAGATGTGTCGTAAATGTAAAACAGGTGTTGGTACACATTCAGAGTGCGGCGGCCATCGGTGATCAGAGGTGGGTTCAATGACGAGAGGAAAGGGAAGGAGTAGAGATAGCCAGTGCAGAAGACGATGGCATCAATGTCTTGCTCGATGTGACCATTTGCAAAGCGGACCGCTCTGTTGTGTGCATGAGGCGGTAAGAATTCCACTATTTCTGGAAGATAAATCTTTTCCGAAGCAGCAGATGCCAGAGGGGTCTCTGTTCGTTGAGATACCAGCAGTTTCCCCTTGGACACCTCGTTGATCTGATTGCCAATGTCTAATCCAGATGCCGAAGTTCCGACAACAATGACCTTCTTGTCTCGGAACGGCTCTGCCGAATCGAAGAGCCTCGAATGAGAGATCACATCTGGATATGCCGAATTCCAGGTTTGAATCCCAGGAATTTCAGGGGTATATGGGACATCAAAGTGGCCACTAGCGACCACTACAGCATCGTATGAGTGCGTTCTCTCAACCCCTTCACGGAGGTTCTTAGTTGTGAGAGACCAAGCATGGAGAGCACCTTCCGTCTTCCGCACATCTACCACCTGCGTCTCGAACTGTATGACATTTTTGATGTCTTCGGCATACTCATCCAGATATCTCTTTACGGCCGAGTGCTTCGGAAACACCTGTGAGTCGGGCTCAAAAGATTTGTCATGAAATCCCATCATCTCTTTGGGGATGTTAGTGTCCAGTGTCTTATACAGCGGGGACACAAAGACCGGCTCTCGAGGCCGGTCGTTGCCTCCTGTCGAGTACCATAATGGCTCTTCGAGCGGTTTGTTCGGATCCAGTTGTGGCACCGGAGTGGTCAGATTCTCCTTCAGGGTCCCTGGGCAGTAATTCCAGACTCCGCCTGCAGAGCTTCTTTTCTCGAAGACATCAACCCGCTCGAAGCATTTCTCGGCAAGAAGGTACCTGCGGTTCTCGTTAGTGACCTGAGATGAATGAAGACATTCAGGTGCTTTTCCTACTTGACCGCAGCAAGACCGGACGGTCCAGCTCCGATGACAGCTATACGACGTATTGGGGTTGAAAGTGTCATTACTGAGGGAAGCTCCGAGCAGACAGTGGGAGTTGGAGGATAGTATGTCTCGATCTTGAGTCCGAGGGGTTGTGTCGGAGGCGAGCCGATAAGCTCATCCCTAGTAATTGCTAGCAGATGATGATTGCATCACTCTCGTGATGGATGCCGTGCTCTTCGGCGTTTCCCTAACAGCTAACTATTTCGATCAAGAAAATTAGTAACTATCTATTCCATTTTCGACTTTAACTAGGATCTCTCCTCTTATATACACTTGTGCGATCGCAAATGAGCGGAGATGCCCAATGAGATAAAGGGCGTACCGACCATGACGTAGATTACCCGCTAAACATCGAACTCTGCGGAGAAAAGCACGGGTAATATTACGCACCGATACGGGGGGAATCTGGGCTCACCTCCGCATCTTTCCATCTTCAATTCTCCCGCGCGTCCTCTAATATCCGATCGGCCAACAACAACAACAGTGTTGCTTCGTGCAGACGCCATCCCGCCCGGAACATGCAAGGCCTATAATAAAGGACTGGAAATGCGGATATTACTTGTTCATTAAGCGCCTGCAGCGATGGACGCTCACGAACAGCAACCTCCGGTCTCCGAACCTCTACGGTCGACGACCCCGATCCCTATCGCGAAGCTCGCCCCGGAGCTCGAGAATCTTTCGGACAGCTCTATCCACGCCGTGGTGACCTTGTTATGGCCCTACTCATCATCAACCCGTTCTCTCAGTCTCTTGCTCGCGGAGCCGGACTTTCGCCTTCGCCGCACGAATGGACAGGTCAAGGTGGTCTTCCATGGGCTGGTCGCGGAAGAAGTAGCCAAGTCGCACGTCGGAATTGGCGATACTGTCTACATTAGGCTGGCGGGATCGAGATTTGTGGACAATGGGGTGTCTAATCAGACGCCAGGGAGATGCATCGCGTGGGACATCAATTATGATGATGGCGTTTCCATTGAGGTACTTTTTCGGACTCAGCAAGTAGTGATCAGTTACAGTCCAGTGCTTACCAGTGTTAGATCTGGCGTTCTTCTCAACTTCTCTCCACTGTGCAAGTAGACCGCCCATCATCTCCGCCGCCCACTATCGACAATGCGATTGAAGAGGCACCATCCACCCCTTCTCCCAACAGATACCCTCGCCCAGACGGAACGAGTCAGAACGCTGGTCTACAATCGTGGCAGTCACCGGCTTTTGTCGAGCGATCGCGCACATCTCTAAGCCACCTTTCGAGCTCCATATTTGACCCATTCGCAGAAGAAGATGGCTTCGTGCCGGGGAAAGGAAGGAAGCGACCAAGGTTTAGCATGCGCGGCAGTGATTGGCGTCTCGTCGATGAACCTGCGAGCCCCGAAGACATCGACATTCCGGGAGATTGGACGGCTATGTTTGACGACGAGGAATGGCTGAAAGCTGAGATTGGTGAGGATGATGCGGAGGATACCAAACAGTCCCCAGAGCCATCTGAAACTCGCGATGTTGAACCAGTATCCGAGGGGCCGCCCGATGGCGCGCAAGCTGAAGGTACCGCTCCTGAGTCAGAGCAAGTGACATCTGAGTCCACTACAGAGAAGAAGTTGAACGAATCAAGATCCGATGCGGAATTTCTTGTGCCCGGCATTGTGTCGAGGACCGAGGCTCCAAGCCCGCGAAGGCACGGCATACCCAACTTCGCTGGTCATCTGCCCATAGATACTCCGCGCCTTCATCCTATCCCCTCTCCCGGCCTTCCTGTTCCTTCACCCTTGGTTAGCACTTCAAACAGCCCTTTTGGGTATTTCGGAGCCGTGTCAACTACCGGCCAAACTCAGTCTACTCCACCGACAACTGTCAACCAGGATGCCGCCGATTTGGCACTTGAGGCTATATCGGATATGCCACCAGAGACTATTATCAGGAACTCTGATGAACATGTGACAACAATGGCTAACGAGGAAGCTACCACTTTGTCCGAACCAATTTCACAGATGCGCGAAGTGGGCTCTGGGTCTGAAGTTGGCCATGCTGTTTCCTTACACGGAATGGTCAATGCAGGAGCACAAGATTTAGAGGGCACGCATGCTCAAGATACTATGCCGTCTTTGTCTGTTCTTCAGACAGCCACTCCGCATACCGCCTTTACTTTCGGTATTGAAGGTGGAGATGCAGAAGGGCCAATGCCACACGAAGAAGAACGGGCCAAGGTGGAAGAGGACGAGGAACGGCTCGAAGCACTCGGGCAATTTGAAGCACGGGCGGATTCCAGCATGGCTGCGGAGGAGAAAGGAACTTACCACGGCGTGATAGAAACGACACAGCACGACTTAGAAGGCGAAGACCACGAATACGAGAGCGCTAGTCAAAGCTCAATCATCGAGGACGCTCGCTCGGAGGCCTCAAGCGAAGAATACGTTTCAGAAGAAGACGAGCAGCCCGACTCCAGGGCAAGACATGACATCGAACTTATTTCCGAGAGTGAAGCAGAATCACCGGAGAAATCCCATGATGCCGTCAGCAGAGAATATGGATATTATCCTGAAGATGACGAGGAAGAAGAACTCGACGAGGAGGAGGAGGAAATCTCTGATGAGGAGCCTGAATCTCAAGAGTTGGAGGATGAATATGATGAGGACGGATATGACGATCGTGTCGACTCTGAACTCGAGTCACAAGAAGATGAACTGGAGGCTGAGTCACCTCATCCCATCAAGAAGGCCGAACCAGAGGTTATTGTGCTCGATAGCGATAGCGACGAGGAGCCTTCGGCGAGCGTACCAAGGCAGCCCGCTGCAGCACCGACAGCCCAATATACTCGGGAACCCGACGTATCCCCATCTGCGGATGAAGCATCCAGCTCTGGGATGTCAGAGCCAGGCGAATACGAAGAATATGAGAGCGAAGAGGTTGATGACGCGGAGGGGGAGGACTATAGTGATGAAGACGGCGAAGAGGGTGGCGAATGGTTTGTGCGAGACAACCAAGAAGCCCAGGAGCAAGAGGTCGAGCCGGTAGAGGCCGACTTGATTCGCCAGAGCCGCGAAATCGATGGGAGTGAAGGATTACATTCCGAGGAAGTACGGGTAGCTCATAAACCAACAATGGAGCCGCACAGTGATGACGAGGCAGTCGGCGTGGAGCAAGTAAATCACGGGCACGAGAGCGAAGGAGATGTGGATATGGATGACGGTCAGCGGGACGCTGAAGATGCTGATGTCAAGGCCATGGAAGCCGAATCGGTCCAGGATGAAGAAATGCACGACCTACAAACCGATGATGATCAGAACAACGATGAACAATCCCGTGACGAAACAGTCGGCGACGAGAAGGCTCACTACGTGGATCCTCATGGAGAAGACGTAGAACAGGAACGTGTTGAGGAGCCAGCTGGTGCTAAAGAACCAGAGGTGGTGCACATAGAAGATGAGGCAACAGAAGAACCAGTTCATCTTGCAGAAGGTCATGAAGAATCCACAGAGGGTGCTGTCCTTAGGGCTCCATCCGATGGCGCCGAGCAAAGCATCGATATCGACGAACACCCTGGTTACCATGCAGAACATGAGGAATTAGGGATAACAGAAGTCATATCACACGAGGCACATCCCGGGGAGATCGCATATGCTCAAGACACCATCCATATCGCTCAACATGACGGGGCCGGTACTGAAACCGTTCTACAGTATCCTGAACCTCCGATCGATCCCGAGCTTTTCAGCGCGGGCACTTTTCTGACCGAAATTAGTAGTGAACAACATGGGGCACATACCTCCCACGAGCAGATACAGGATGGTGAGGACGCAGGCGTGCCAGAACAAGCCCAGCACATTGATCCTAGCCTGTCGCTAGATGGTGCTTCTCAAAGCTTGGGCCTGCCCGACTCGGCTGCCTATGTTCCCAAGATGCCAATTCTCCCGCAGAATCAGCTGGTGACTCCAGAGTCTTCTCAGATAAATGGAGCGGACATTCCTTCTGTCCCTGTCCTACCGGTGGATACAGCACTGCCAACCCCTGAGCCTACTCAGGAAAGGTCAGATTTCCAAATAGAAGACGAACCACAGCCCACCGTTGAGGTGGTTACAGAAACAACAGCGACGGTGGTGGCAGAAAACCTCCCGCAAGACGAAGACGCCCAGTCTGAAGCGGAATCGATCTCTACCGCACCCGAAGAAAAGGCAATATCAGATGACGACAAGGGAGCTCACACAACACATAGCGAAGACGAAGTCCTACTCGTCGGCCATGACCGCAAACGTCTTCTCAACCTCAACCGCAACTACCCGGGCCTGCGCAGCAAATACTCCTACTTCGCGCCCCTCGCCACCCTCATCGACCACTACAACGCGCTGACAGACACCATCTCAATCGTATCCGAGACTCGACCCCCAATCCGCTCAACAACAGGCAAGAAGGACTACATACTGACCTTCGGTGTGACCGACCCATCCCTCGCCGGCACAATCCTGTACGCCCAGATCTTCCGACCCTACAAAACCGCCCTCCCAACCTTAGAAGAAGGCGACGCCGTCCTCCTCCGAAACTTCAAAGTCAAAAGCTTCAAGCACTCCATCACCCTATCCAGCGTCGACAGCAGCGCCTGGGCCGTCTTCAACGGCCCCAACGAAGCCCAAATCGACGGCCCACCTGTCGAATACGGCGCGGAGGAGCAAACCTACGCCACGGACTTGCGCCAATGGTATCACGAAGACGGCATGGCCATGGTGGCTGACTACCAATTACAAGCCTCGATAGAGCAGGAAAGTCGCGAGGCCACCCCCTACAGTACCGGTGGATTCAGTGATTCGGGCAGCGTGAACAACGTTGATGGACGGGCGGACTCCTCGTTCTCGTCGAGTCGGGGCTCCGGCTCCGGCTCACGAAGGAGGAAATCCCATCGTCGAATTACGATCCATGAGTTGCGCGATGGGAGGAGATATGCCGAAGTTGGATCGCCGAGCAGTAAGGAGGATATACATGAGTTGAGGGATGGGACGGTGTATGCGAACTTCTAATTTCTACCTGCAGTTGTTTATAGGGCTTGGAGTTGTGTTTGCAGTGTAGTAGATCTAGATGATTGACGAGTGTATCTATGTATGGGTGTTTGGATTGATGTTTCGTGGCATATGTGTGGGAATGTTTCTAGCAATCATGGTAACTTTCACAAGCATATAGTTAGAGCAATTGTCTCTATTCATAACATCCTTGCATCTTACCCGCAGGATGCTTGCTCTACACGTCTATACTAGCATACCGTCCGTGTCTTCATAACCCATACAAAAGCGATAGCAATAAAGCAAAGAATATAAACACCAACCCACCAAGAACGCTATTCTCAGCCCACACCTCTACTCCACCCCCCAACTTCTAGGATCTGTCCTCTAACCCCCCTCACATCTTCGGCCCATTCTCCCCACCCAAAAACTCCAAATTGATCGCCGCCCGAATAAGCTGATTCGCAATAGCCGTAGCCGGGGGCAACCTCAACGCCCCCTCCTTATACTCTGGCCCCGGCCCAGACCCCAAAACACTCGTGCCGGTCCGCAGCGCCTCCTCAACCTCGGCAAACTCAAACCACCTCGCATCCTCGAGCTCAGGATCATGCTCGAGGTTAATCTTCTCATGCGCAGGATCACTCACCTGCGCAATAGCCCCGATCATCAAGTTCGCCGGGTACGGCCACGGCTGCGACGAGTGGATCACGACGCGCGACAACGTCACGCCGGCTTCTTCCCACACTTCGCGGCGGACGGCGTCCTCGACTGACTCGGCGGGCTCGATGAAGCCCGCTAGGGTGGAGTACCAGTTAGGCGGGAAGCGCTTCGAGCGGCCGAGCAGGATGCGTTTGGCGTCGGCGGAGACGACGGCCACGATGATGGTGGGGTCGGTGCGAGGGAAGGAGAGGTTCGATATCGTGGTACGAGTGTTGCAGGGGGGGCGGGTGGCGGGTTTGCCTTGCTCGATGAGGGCAGCATCGCTGGGTGGACAGGCGCGTTTGGTCCCGCTGTTTACGGAGATCGTGGGGTGGCCGCAGGTGCCGCAGAAGGTGTTGCGCGTGTTCCAGTCTATTAGGGCGCGGGCTTGTGCGTAGATGGCGGCTGTGCAGGGTTGGGAGCGTCTGTTAGTGATGGTTGTTGTTGTGTATGAGTGGTAGGGTTAGGTACGTACCTTCACTGGCGGGGAAGGACATGATGGTTCTGCCCTGGAGGAAGG